GGAACGCCCGCCAGTCTTGGGCTCCCGCCCGAGACTTCTTTCAGGAACGGCGCTTTCGCTTAGGACTTCTTCGAACGTTCGCGTTCTTACCTTCCTGCTCCTCCTCCCTCTCCCTCCTCCCTCCTCCCTCCTCTCCTCCCTTCTCTCTCCCTCCTCTCTTCCCTCATCTTTATGCCTCTCTGCCCTACCCCCTCTCCCTCCTCACCCTCCCTTCTCCCTCCCCTCTCCTGCCTCCTCCCTTTTTTTTTTGTTTCTCTCTCTCTCTCTCTGTCTCCCCTCCATCTCTCTCTTCCTCGCTAGCTCTCTTTTTTATCTTTCTCTCTCTCTATATATATAATGCATTCATTTATGTATGTCTCTTTCTTTCTCTGCCTCTAATCAATTGCCCCCCACTTCGCTCCTTCTCTCCTGGCGTTTTCCCTCTTCCTTCGTCCCTCCCATCCCCTTCCTCCCATTATCCCTCGTTCTCCCCCTCTTTTTGCAGGGCCCACACCAATTCCAATGGCGGGCATATGTACGCCCACGAAGGATTGTCCGCCCGTTCAGGTTTGCCCGCCTGTCCAAGCTGGCCGCCCCCCGCAAAGAGAAACGGGGTGTGATCGAAAACGAAAAGGGCGGGTATCGAGAGTGTGGGGATTTCGTTTTAAATGACACACGGGCAAGTAGGAGCGAACAGTCTTAGAATGATGTTTGCTAGTGTTGTTGTTGTTGTTGTTGTTGTTGTTGTTGGCGTTGTTGTTGTTGTTGTTGTTGTTGGTGGTGTTGTTGTTGTTGTTGTTGTTGTTGTTGTTGGTGTTGTTGTTGTTGTTGTTGTTGTTGTTGTTGTTGTTGTTGTGCTTGGTGTTTTTGTGTGTTTATTGAATCGCTTCGCTCATTCCGCCGGCCCGTGATATGGCATCGCTGGTTTTTGTCTGTGTGTTCGTTGCCCATGTTGCGCTCTTGGGGGCGGGTGTCGTTCGGACGCGTTGCGTGGGGAGTTTTGATGGTGAAGCAGTTCCCTGGGGGTCGTCTCTCGATGGGGCGAAATAGAGTCGTCGTCAAGATGCTTCTTTGGGGGGCCTCTTGGGGTCTGTTGAGAGGCCGTTCGGGGGCGCCTGGGAGACATGTTTGAAGCCTTCTGGGGCTTCTTTTGGGCCTCCTGGGAGTCTCCTGGGGCCTCTTGGCGACATCTTGGGGCCTCTTGGAGGCCTCTTGGGGCCTCTTTGGGACCTCCTGGGCGCCTTCTGGGACGGAGGGCTCCATTTTTGAGTTCTCGGTATCCCTCCTGAGTCCCTCTTGGGCCCGTCTTGGGGCCTCTTGGTCCGTCTTGGGCGGCACTTGGGCCGTCTTGAGGGCTCTCTTGGGTCGTTTCGGCGCCGTCTTGGGAGCTTCGTGGGCCGTCTTGGAGCGGTCTTGGGGGCCTCTTGGGCCGTCTTGGAGCGTCCGGAAGCCGAAAAAGCCAAAACACAAAAAAACATCGAAAAAACCAATGAAAATCAACGATTTTGGCCTCTTGGGGCTCTCTTCGGAGGCCTCTTGGAAGGCTCTTGGGGCGTCTTGGAGGCCTCTTGGGCTGTCTTGGGGGCCTTTTGGGCCGTCTTGGGGTCATCTTCGGCGTCTTCGAGCGCTCTTTGGCGTCTCGGGGGCCTCTTGGGCAGTCTTGGGGGCCTCTTGGGGCACTCTGAGCGCGCTCTGGGGAGCCTGAGAGGCCGCACCCAGAAGGAAAACCATCTCTGAGTAGACTTGGTCGGGCGGCGGTCGGGCGGCGGTCGGGCGGCGGTCGGGCGTTGGTCGGGGTACTTTTCGCCGGGGGACCCCCAGGGGCCGCCCCGCGCGCGCTGGTGTTTTTGTGTGTTTATTTGGTCGTTTGTTAATTTGTTTGTTTGTTTGTTTGTTTGTTTGGTTGGTTGTTTATTGTTTTTGTTGTTGTTTGGCGTCGTCCCCCCCGCGACCCGCCCTTCGACCAATTCGCCCACCCCGCGACCCCACCCGCGACCCGCCCGCGACCGACCCGCGACCCACCCGCGACCCACCCTGCGACCCACCCGCGACCCACCCGCGACCCACCCCGCGACCCGCACGCGTCCCATTTGCGACCCGCCCGCGGCGCACCCGCCGCGACCCACCCGCGACCCACCTGCGACCCACTCGCGACCCTGCCCGCAACCCGGCCCGCGACTTGGCCCGCGACCCACCTGGGACCCTCCCGGGACCCACCCGCGACCCACCCGCGGCCCACCCACGACCCAACCGCGACCCATCCGCGATCCACCCTCGGCCCGGCCCGCGACCCACCCGCGACCCCTCCGCGACCCACCCGCGACCCACCCACATTGTTTCAACGAAAAATCAGCGCCTGCGGCAGGCTCGCTGCATAATTTGTAAAATTTAGTCGCCTGCGGCGGGCTGCTTCGGAGCCTCGTAACCTCCAGACGTCCCCGCCGCCCCGTCACTCTTATCCGCGACTGCGGGGTGCTACGTCAGAGTGAGGGGACCCGAACCGTCATTCAGTGTCCCTGGGTGCGTGGCTGAAGTGGGAACCCACGGCGAGGATTATGGTTGTTGCTTTGATGTTGTTGTTTTGTTGCGTCGTCCCCCCTGCGACCCACACCGCGACCCAGCCGCGACCCACCCCGCGACCCACCCCACGATTCACCCCGTGACCCAGCCCGCGACCCAGCCCGCGACCCGCCCGCGACCCACCCGCGCGTGACCCGCCCGCGACCCACCCGCGATCCACCATAACCCACCCGCGACCCACCCGCGACCCACCCCGCGACCCACCCGCGACCCGCGACCCACCCGCGACCCCCCCGCGACACATCCTCGACCCACCCGCGACCCACCCGCGACCCGGCCCGCGACCCACCCGCGACCCACCGTCGACTCACCCGCGACCCACTTGCGACCCAACCCGCGACCCACCTACGTTGTTGTACCAAAAAGTCGGCGCCTGCGGCGGGCTCGTTGTATAGCTTGAGATATTTTGCGCCTGTGGCGAGCTTCTTCAAAGCCTCGCAGACTGTCGACATCCCCCGCCCCCATCACTCTTATCCGCAACTGCGGGGTGCTACGTATATTCATATACATACCCACGGACACCTACAAATGCATAGACCTAGGGCCTCAGTGGAGCGTGGCGGTGTCCAACTGGTCTTGAGGGCCGCCGATTTTTACACCGCCACCCTCCCTGAAGCCACACTGAGAACTCATCGGCGGGTTCCTGTGCAAAGGTTTTCGTGGCGTATGCACAGTCGACAATGGTGTACATTTGGGGTGCTGCGCGACGCCTTCGGGCTGCTGTGGCCAGAACTGCACTCGCAGCGCACGGGCTCTGTCCCCGGGCGACGAGCTCTGTGCAGAGCCACCTCCGCTGGCCAGGCCCATCCTGGTCCAGGGAGCGGTGTGCACTGCTCCCTGGCTGAGCCCGGGGGGCTCGTGCACTGGTGCATGGGCCCTGGATTGGCTGGCCGAAGGCGGTGGACATGCACACGTGAGAGAGGGGGATTTGTCTCCAGAAAGGCTGTCTCCCCTCAATCATCCCTCCTTCTAGCGACTCTCTCTGGGGAGGTGCCCCCCCTCCCCCTCCAGCCCCCTCCTCCTCCTCCTCCTCTTCCGCCTCCTCCTCCTCCTCCTCCTCCTCCTCCCCTCTCCTCCTCCTCCTCCTCCTCCTCCTCCTCCTCCTCCTCCTCCCCCTCCCTCCGCCTCCTCCTCCTCCTCCTCCTCCTCCTCCTTCTCCTCCTCCTCCTCCTCCTCCTCCTCCTCCTCCTCCTCCTCCCCTCCGCCTCCTCCTCCTCCTCCTCCTCCTCCTCCTCCTCCTCCTCCTCCTCCTCCTCCTCCTCCTCCTCCTCTCCTCCTCCTCCTCCTCCTCCTCCCACCCCTCCCCCTCCCTTCCTCCTCCTCCTCCTCCTCCTCCTCCTCCTCCTCCTCCTCCTCCTCTCCTCCTCCTCCTCCTCCTCCTCCTCCTCCTCCTCCTCCTCTCTCCTCCTCCTCCTCCTCCTCCTCCCCCCCCTCCTCCCTCCAGATCCCCCCCCCCTTGGCCCCCCTGGCCCCGTCTCCCCCCCTCCCCCCCCCCCCCCCCTCTAGACCTCCGACCTTACGCACGCCGTGGGCCCCCCCCCCAAGAAGAACCCTCGACTCCATCCTTCGGCTCTGGTCTGGAGGTGCGGGCTCCCTGTCTAGCCCCGTCGTGCTTGTCTCCTGTCTCGGCGCCTGCAGGGGGAGGAGGGACTGGAGGGGATTGGACAGGGATTGGACAGGGCTGAAGGGGATTGGACAGGGATTGGAGCGGATTGGACAGGGATTGGACAGTGCTGGAGGGGATTGGACAGGGATTGGACAGGGATTGGACAGGGATTGGAGGGGATTGGAGGGGATTGGACAGGGCCGGACCGAAACGCTGTTTTGCTGGACTTCGGCTGCGTTCTGTCTTTCGTTTCGGGCGGGAGGTGCAGGAAAACGGGTAGAGCAAAACGAAGCACAACACGAAGCCAGCACGAAAAACAACGTTGAGGCCCAGCCCTGATAGGAAGGATTGGATGGCGCTTCGTCGCAAGGCGGGTCCATCTGCCAGCTGAGAGTGGGCCATCGGTGCCGTGGAGGCTCGACTGGGATCTCCGACTCCCGCGAGAGGCTGTTAGCTGCATGCCGGCCCCCGGGGCCAAGTAAGCAGCTACGCGAGAAGAAGGAAGGAGGGGGGAGGGAATCAGGTGGGGGAGGGGAAGGGGGGGGAGGAAGGGAAGGGGGGGGGGGGGGGGGGAGAAGGAGGGGAGGAGAAGCAAGGGGGGCAAGGTGAGGGGAGAGAAGCAAGGGGGGGCAAGGGGGGAAGGAAGGAAGAGGGAAAGGGGGGGAAGGGAGGAAGGAGAAGAAGGTATGGAGGGACTGCTGGGGGAGGATGGGGAAGGAGGAAGGGAGGGCAGGGAGAGAGAGGGGAGGGGGGGCGGGCAATTCGGCGAGCATGGGGGCGAAAGGGGGGCCCCTCCCTGCTCGGCGCCGGGCCACACGCGGTTTGCGCGGGCGAGGAGTGCCGGGGGGCTGGGTCTCGATCTACATCATGCGGCAGGACCGCTCTCGGCCGAGACGGCCCCCATCCCCCCCCCGGGGCCCTCTCCCCCCCCCCCGCAGGGTGGGGGGCGAGCAGCGGCACGCGTCGCAGATCCAGTCGGGGGTGGGAGGGAGGTAGGAGGAAGGAGGAGGGAGGAGGGAGGAGGGAGGGGGGAGAGGGGGAGGAGGAGGAGTAGGAGGAGAGGAGGGGGGAGGAGGGGCGGGGGAGGAGGAGGGAGGAGGAGGGAGAGGAGGGAGGAGGAGGAGGAGGAGGATGGGAGGAGGATGAGGGGAGTGCAAGGGGAGGAGGGATGAGGAGGAGAGGAGGAGGGAGGAGAGGGAGGAGGGAAGGGGAGGGAGGATGGAAGGGGGAGGGAGGGAGGGAGGAGGGGAGGAGGGAGGGGGGAGGGGAGGGAGGAGGTGGAGGGGCAGGCTCGGGGGGGGGGGGGAGGAAGTGGAGGAGGGAGAGAGGGGGGTGAGGGGGGGAGTGGGGAGGGAAGGAAGGGAGGAGGGGGAGGGAGGAGGGGGAAGAAGGAGGGGGCAGGAGGAGGGAAGGGAGGGAAGGGGAGGGGGGGGAGGAGGGGGGGAGGGGGGGAGGCTTCTCCGGCCAGTCCGTCTCCCTCCCCGCGCCCGCCTCCCACCTCCTCCGTCCCCCGAGACTCCTCCCTGGCGGCCGTCCTCCTCCTCCTCCTCCACCTCCTCCTCGCACTGGGGGGGAAAGGAGGAGCCGGAGACGCAGCGCGTGCGCCTCGCCCGAGACGTCCTCACGATTTGTAAGTCGGGCCTGTCCCCGGGGGATCTTCGACGAGAAATAAAAAATACCAAATAAATAGTCCAAAATAGTCAGGGGACTATTTCTGAATATGTTTTGCCGTTTTTTGTAGATTGTTAGGTTTTTTTTGTTACAAAAATATCGTCGAAAACTCCCTGTAGGGGTACACGTCCGACATAACACGATCTGGGCGAGACCGGGCGCGTGTCCTACTCCCTGGCGGCCCCCCCTGGCCGGCGCATCACCAGCGGCACCTTCACGGTCTGCTACGAAAGCAGAGGAGCCCGAGGCGCCGGAACAGGCAGACGTCGCGAGACATCCTCACGGTCTGGGCGCGAACTGCGTCTCACTCCTTTGCGCCCACCCTCTCTGAAACATGCCCCCGAGCTGCTCCGAGAGCAGAGGAGCCCCGGCAGCCAGAGAGTACACACCCGCCCCGGGAGAGCCAGAGGACTCTGGGCGCGAGCGGGGCCGCGCAAAAGCAACCCTGGCGGCTCCCCCTTGAGGTGCTGGAGAAGCCAGCGCTTCGCTCGAGACATCCTCGCAGCCCGCTCAAAGAGCAGAGGAGAGCCAGGGCAAGCATGAAGTCGGGCCCGTCCCTCTACCCGAGGAAGATTCAAGAATAGTCAAAAAATAGCCTTGGGACTATTTTTGGTATATTTTGTTTGGCCCATGTCCCGGGAATCTCAACGAATATTGTTGAGACAAGAAAACTAGTTCATTTGACATCTGCCTGGGCCATGTCGATAAATGTAAGGGAGCGAACTCGAATATGGCCACCATTTTGGCATATGTTTTGGGTATTGCCTATTTTTCGTCGACAATCCCCCTGGAGGGGGACACGCCCGACTTAGCAGACGCGCGCAAGCCGCCGGAGGCCTCTCCGCAAAAAATCGGGCCGCGAGGGTGGCGGCAGGCGGCGGCCCCGCGGCGTCTTCGCCCCTCCTTGGGCCTGGAGAGCCAGCGCCTCGCTCGGGAGGTCCTGTTCCTCCCCCTCCTCCTCCTCCTGCTCCCTCCCCCTCCTCCTCCTCCTCCTCCCCCTCCTCCCCCTCCTGCTCCTTCTCCTCCTCCTCCTCCTCCTCCTCCTCCTTCCTCCTCCTTCCCCTGCTCCCTCCCCCCTCCTCCTCCTCCCCCCCCTTCTCCTCCTCCTCCTGCTCCTCCTCCCTCCCCTCTCCCTCCTCCTCCTCCTCCTCCTCCTCCCTCCTCCTCCTCCTCCCTCCTCCCCCCCCCTCCTTCTCCTGCACCGTCCCGCACCGTCCTGCACCGTCCTGCCTTCCTCTATCCTGCCTTCCTCTATCTGTCCTGGCCCTCGGGGGAGGGGATGGTTCGGGAGCGGAGGGGTCCCCACTTTGAGCTCGCGCGGGCTGCGCGCACTCGAGACGCATCGAAGGAAGCGAAGTGCAGGTGCAGAGGCGCTGAATGTTCGAGGCATGTCGTGGGGGGCATGGGTATGTCGGGTTCGCACGCGTCCCCCCTTAACATCCTCGCAGTCCGCTCCGGAAAAGCAGAGGAGCTCCGCGGCAGTCAAACGCGCAAGCCGCCGGAGGCATCTCTTCACAGTCGGGCCGCGAGGGCGGGGCCCTCTGCAGAGGCAGCTCGTGGCGTCTCTCCCCCTGCGGGGGTGCCTGGAGAACCAGCGCCTCCTCGCTCGGGACGTCCTGGCAGATGTTTGCTCTGAAGGCAGAGGGGGATGGGCTGGTTCGGGAGCGGAGAAGCCCCCGTTTTGAGCCCGCACGCGCTGCGCGCACTCGAGACACCTCGAGGTGAACGAAGCGCAGACGCAGAGGTGCCGAATTCTCGATGCATGTCGAGCAGGAGCGGTTACTGCTGAGGTTGTCGTTTGTCATTCGCAGGATGTTCATGGAGCTGCTAAATGACAGGGTGGTCGACTTGTCATTCTTCAAAGTTGTGTGGTTGTACCTTACATTGGCAGTCCTGTGGCCCTCTACATGGAAAGGCTGGTGGCTTGACCTTCCCCAACCCAGATATGGAGAACGAGCATGCTGAGGTTGCGCCTTGATGGCGCTGACATGTGATGATGATGATGATGATGATGATGATGATGATGATGGTGATGATGGCGATGCTGCTGATGCTGATGATGATGATCATGATGATGATGTTGATGATGGCAATGGTGCTGAGTATGATTATGCTGATAATGACAAGGACCCAGATGAGGACTAGTACGACTATGCGGATGACTATGACAAGGACCCAGATGGTGATGCTGATTGTGATGGCGATGGTGATGCTGATAACGATGGTTTTGTTGATGGTACAGATGACGATGCTGTTGATGATCCTGTTGCTGATGATGCTAATGATGTTGTGGCGGCTGCCAATACCGATGTTGATGATGCTGCTGATGCTGGTAAGGATGATGACGATGATGATGCTGATGAGGATGAGGACTCTGATGATGATGCTTATGCTGATGCTGATGTTGATGAGGATGATGATAATGATGGTGTCGATGCTGTCGATTATGACGATGGCTGTGATCGTGATCATGTTGTTGATGATGGTGATGACGATGACGACCATGATACTGTTGATGGTGATCATGATGAGGATGATGATGATGCTGTTGTTGCTGATGATGATGACGATGCTGCTAACAATGATGATGATGCTGGTGATGATGACGCAGATGATGATGACGATGATGCTCACACTGATAATGATGATGCTGATGATGAGGACGATGCTGCTGCTGATGATGATGAGGGTGGTGATGAGCATGTTGATGATGATCCTGATGATCATGATGTGATGTGCTGTGCTGTGATGTGATGTGATGTGATGTGATGTGGCGTCGTGTGATGTGATGTGAGGACGAGAGCGGCCATGGTCATGATGATATTGCTCTTCGTGACGATGGTTACGATGACGATGACGATGGTGACGAAGAGTATTAGCAGCCAACCCCTCTCTCCTCTGACCCCTGCTTCTGTGCTACCTCTGGCTCAGTTGCCCTCTCCACCCTCTACCCTCTGCCCTCTTCGTCCTCCTCGTGATTCTTTACCCTCTGTATCCTCTACTCTCTCTCTCTCTCTTTCTGCCTTCTTCGTTGCCCTCTCTACCCTCTGCCCTCTTCGTCCTCCTCATGATTATTGTAGTGGCCTTCGGCCAGTGCCGCCGATCCGGGTCGCTCGGTGCAGGCCCCCCCCCCATCGATATGAGGTGCTCTGAAAGATTGGAAGTTCGAGAGCGCTGGTTGCGAGATTATCACGAAGACCTCGACAGCACCACTCGAGCACGCCAAGAACACGTTCATCGAAGAGATGGCGACGGGAACCGTCGTCCTTTGACTGCTTGCCGTACGAAGGAGAAGCCAGATTTGTGCAAACACGTGTTCATGACATATCATCTCATAGCCGACCGCCCGCGAGTCATTTGCGCTGGTTTGGCGAAACTTTTCGGGTTACCTTCGAAAGGGCGTAGGAATGCAGTTGGGTCAATAGAGCCATCTCGCAACAGTGGTTCTATCAACGGCGGGATGCCTGCAGTGACCGTGGGGACGGGAAATGATAATGTCATGAAAATTCCATGCAGGATGCCGATCACTTTGGAAACTCTCGATACGTCTTGCACGGAGTCTTGTTACGAAACATATGTTCTGGACGATGTGGTGCGAGCGGTGGAGGCGAGCCTATCAGCGCAAGGACGCCCTCTTGGGGCGTTTTTTGAGCCATCTTAGGAGCCTGTCAGGGCGTCGTGGGGGCTTCTTGGGGGCTTTTGGGGGCCCTCTTGGGGGCTCTTGGGGCCTCCTGGGGGCCTCGTGGGCTGGAAGGCTAGATTCGTTTTGCTTTTCGTCCCTCTTTTGGGTCCTCTTGGGGCTGTCTCGGGGGCCTCTTGGGCCGTCTTGGGCGGCTCTTGGGCCGCCTTGGGGCCCTCTTGGGCCGTCTTGGGACTGTCTGGGGGCCGCCTGGGCCGTCTTCGAGCGGTCTTGGGGGCCTCTTGGGCCGTCTTGGAGCGTCGGAAAGCAGAAAAAAACGACGACCCCAAACACATTGAAAAAAACCACATGGAAATCAACGATGTTTGCCGCTGGGGGCCCTCGCGGGAGGCCTCTTGGAGGCCTCTTCAGACGTCTTGGAAGGCTCTTGGGCCGTCTTGGGGCCATCTTGGGCGTGTTCGGGCGATCTTTCGGGGTCTCGGGACTTTCTTAGACCGTCCGCAGAGACTTTTGCGGCCGCGGCCACTCTTTCAGCGCATCCTCGAGATTTGAGCCTCGTGTATAGGCAGCCCCCCGCGACCGCCGGAAAACTCGCGCTCCCCCCCCGCCCCCCCTTCCCCGGCGGAGCCGCCCCGGCACCCCCCCCCAGAGGCTGAGGCTCAGCCTCGAGGCTGTAGCTGAGACTCCTTGAAACTCACACGCCGGATCAGCGGATTTACCTTCTGTACCCTCTGCTCTCTCTGCCTTCTGTGTTGCCCTCTCTACCCTCTACCCTCTTCGTCCTCCGCATGATCTTTTCTCTGCGGCCCAGCGTGCGGCCTGCGTGCGACTGTCTCCCTCTCCGCGAGGTCTGTTCCGTTGGGGGCTGGGCGGGCTGGGGGACTGCAGCACCACCCTCGCCCTACATCCCCCCTCTGCCAGGGCTCGTTTCGATTCCTCCGATTCGATCCGACTCGATGTCGATGGCTTTCGATTCCGATTCGATGCGACTCGGAATTCCGATTCGGGTTCAGGTTTACTGTTGGAGGCATATTAGCCTGCCGATTTCAGCCGATTCGACTTTTCCCGACTCGGCTGCCGATGTCCGGCGATCCGACTCATTTCGATCGCCTGTCCGACTTATCGATTCGATTCTGGGCTCGCCTGGTCTACGCTTCTCTCGCCCTGTCCCTCCTCCGCCGACCCGATCACCGCCCCCACTGGATCAGCGGCTCGAAGAGGCAGAACTGGGGTTTGGGGGTTGTGCTGCTTGACGCTCGCGTTGTCGCGGGCCTGCTCTTGGATCCCTTCGTTGGCCCCAGCCCCTAACAGGCTTTCGATGATTCTACGTAGAGGCCTATGTCATTGCGTTGATTTCCCCGCACCTCGTCTTTATTTCGCAATGGCCTCGCTGGGCACAGCGCCTTGATGATCTTGGTTTGCCTTCGCAGGTCCGTCTCAGAGCGTCTCAGGTCTGTCTCAGAGCGTCTCAGGTCCGTCTCAGAGCGTCCGTAAGTCATCTTGGAGTTGTGCGTCCGTGAGCTATCTTGGGGCCGTCTTGAAGGCCTCTCTGGCAATATTTGGGTACACGGGGGCCATCTTAAAGGTCTCTTGGGTCATCTGGGAGCCTCTAGCTTGCTTGTTGGCACCTCTCGGAGCCCTCTGGAGCTTATCCTTTTGCAAGTTTGAGCTGAACAGCGGGCAGTGCTAGAACTATACAGTGCCTCAGGGAGTTTGATACGTGTTGCCTTGTAGGGCCCTCTGCTGGGTGATCTTGGAGTCGCTTGGGGTCATACAGGGGCCATCGTGGTAGCTTTCGTGCCTTCTCTTGGGCTGTCTTGTGCAGCAGGGGAGCCATGCAGGATGGTCTTGGGCCTTCCTGGAGCAATTCTGCAGAGCGTCTGGATCCATGGAGGGCGCGGGGTACACCTTGGGAACCTGGAGTGCCGGGGACGTCAGATAGCCCGACTGCTGGCCACAGTTATATGCTGGGACGCTTATGGTGTCAGCATCGGAAGGGTTGTCCGGGTTGTCTGGGGGGTTGTCCGGGGATTTTTGGGGATGGGATTCTTTTTCCATTGAACATAGTAACGGGGTCTCCTGTCGCCAGGGATAGGGTAGCAGTGGGGAGGGGGCCGAACATCTCGGACGCCACTGCACTCCGTGCAGGCGGGGGTCCGCGGGTGGTGTGGCATCTTCGGGGCATCGCCAGTCCTCCCGTAGATGCTTTTTCGCTTGTTCGCGTCCGGCGTGGGCTCGCCGTCGATCCGGCGCGGATGGGAGGTGGATGGCAGCAGTATCGAGCAGAGCATGTCCCAAGTAGCACGCCTCAGGTCTCCGTCGGGGGGGAGAGCGAGAGGGAGAGGAAGAGAGAGAGAGAGAGAGAGATGCGGGAGCGGTTGTCCACAAAGCCATTGCTGCAGGTTAGGGGCGGGCCTGGACGCACCAGATCCAGGCCTGTCTGTGCCAGGGGACGCAGCTGGCCAGAGTTGGTGGGAGTGCGTACTGTTGCCAGGATCCAGTGCTAGCTTGCCTGTCGTTATGCGTCGTGTCGCCTCGCGCATTTCAGGCTCTCAAACTCCCAGGGGAATCGCCCCTGTACGAACAACCGCAGGTCCGGTCGGACCCCTTACCCTCCGAATCATGGCGTTCCTCATGGCATCCACCCAGGTAGCATTTTCGTTGCTCTTCTTTCAGGGTGGAGTTTTGGACAATGGAGAGCATCGGGAGATAGGAGGGAATGTTGCACTTTGCGTCCGCACAGGGGATGTATTACAAGTTTTCTGAGCATGTGTCTGAAGCTTCGGTGAGGATGTCATACGCGAGCCGACTGTCCAGGACCCGATGTCGGGCGGGCGGTGGTCTTGGCGCGATATAAACAATCTCCTAGAACACCTTCAACCTCCTCAAGCAGGGTGACGTGCGCCGCCATGTGGAGAATGTCGTTTGTGTTGTTGATTGTGTCGACCCTGCTGTTGTTGGGGTTGTTGTTGTCGGCCTGCTCCTTAGCTGGCTGCGATGGTGAGGATCGTATCGATTGTAGCCTTGATCACCTGGTATCATGTGCATAGTTCTCTTGCGGCTTGACTCCTGCCAGCGCCTCGTAATGCGCACCTCGCGATCCACTGTACGAAATTAGGTTCGCTCTTTTTATCAATGCCGTCCATGCCTGAATATCGTTCGTATGGCCAGTTGTGAATTTGATGTGACCTAAGCTTGACACGGTGGTGACGCTAACATTGATTCCGATAGTGAATTTCTCGCATGACTATGCTATTCATCGATGCGGTAGTTTCAGGTTCGCGCGTGAACTTTTTAACAGTTGTTGGCCAAGGCTGACTTCATGACGGAGCCTTACCCCATCATCTTTGAACAGCCAGCGAAGAACGCCAGAGATGTCGCAGCAGGAACGACCGATGCTCCAGCAACGGCTCACGCAGGGATAGAGGAAGCGCACGTTGACAATGCCGCATTTGTCGCCGCCAGATTTGTCTGGGACCCTGTCGACGGCGATCGTTGAGCGAGATAATATGCGATCTCTTGGCAGTCTCCTCTTCACGCGCTCGGGTTCCTTGGTAGCCCGGCTTGCCGCAGGAGGAGGAGCTTCTCGTCGCAGCCGACATCTTTTCGACGCGGGGAGCTGAAGGACAGGCTTTGTTGGTTCCGTCTCCGGCCTGCCAGTGTTTTGTTTTCTTGTGTTGGGCGGCAGCAGGGGCTCTCAACCACCACCTGCGGGGGGGGGGGGGGGCGGCTGTCAATGAGGGTAGTTGAGATGTAACAAACGCTTCTGGGCGCTTGGGCGAGGCAATCTGCACCTGATTCCCACGAATCGGTACAGCCAATACGCTGTAATAAGGACCGCTTTGGGTTCGGAAGGAGCTCGCTGTGCCTAGGGTCATTCCGTGGTTGTTCCCCTAGCCCTTTTCGTGCCACCAGGCGTTTCTGGCGCCAAAATGGGGCTTCGTTCCTTGTTCATCGGTCCTTATTTCAGCAGCCCGACTGAAAGTTGGTGGTGGTGTTTTTCTCCCTGCCGTGGGCCCTTCCCGCCAGCGTGCCTGGGCTGTGGGTGGCGGACTCACAGGGAACGGTCGAAGCCAACAACGCGTCCCAAGCTAAGTGTCCGCGGAGCTCCCATACAGGGCGCTGCGGACATTTGGGCATACAGGGAACTCTTCGGATCTAGGCCTTGGGAGTCTCTTGGGTGTGTCTCTGACGGCCATCTGGGGGCTTATGGAGGCCCTTTTGGCCGTCGTCTTGGGTGCCTTTGGAAGGCCCCTGGCACTGCGAGGTGGCTTCTGTGGGGTCCCTGCGGGCCTCTTGGAGGCATGCTGAGGGTCTTGAGGCCATCTCTTGGCGGAGAGGATGGTGGACTTCAACGAGGTTCATGGTGTATGTCCGCGGGCCCCCTTCTTTGGGACCGTTTTGGGATCCCTCGGGTTCCTGTTTGGGCCTCGGGGGCCGTTTCGGAGTTCCCTACGGGGCCTTTTGCGACGTTTTGGGCGCTCTCGACGCCGAAGAGGCGACAAAAGTGAAATCACGCGACTGCAAACATGTGTGAACGAGCTTGGTCTCTTGAGCTGGTTTTCATGTGCCCCAAGACCAAGGCCGCTTCAAGATACCCTCCAGAGGGCACACGACGAGCCCCTGGGCGCACGGTGGGAGATAACGAGAGACAGCAAACGAGAGAGAGAGAGAGAAAGAGAAAAAAAACATAACAAGGGGGGATATATAGAGAGATATATATATATAGAGAGAGAGAGAGATACGTACCCCCCCTACCGTGGACTGCCTACCTAACGTAATCCAGACCCCGGTGACACCCAGCCTGGCCTGTGCGGAATGGGCGTGGCACCTGCATTCTGGCGGCACGCTTGTCTCGAACTGATGCTCCGGCTTGTGCGTGGGCCACACCTCTGATTGAACATATTGTTGTCGCTTGGGCGTCGGCGACATCCTTCATTGGGCGTGTTGTTCTCGCCTGTGCGTGGGTGGGCCACATCTCTGATGAAAAATGCTGCTGTCGCTTAGGCGCAGGCGACGTCCTTCATTGAGAATGTCGTTCTCGCCGCGGCGCCAGCCACATGTCTGATTGAACTGTTGCTGTCGCCTAGGGGTCAGCGACATCCTTCATTGAGCACGTCGTTCTCGCCTTGGTGCTGGCCAGATCTCCGATTGAAAATGTGGTTGTCGCCCAAGCTCCAGCGACATCTTTCATTGAGCATGCCGTTCTCGCCTTTCCGCAGGCCGCATGTCTGATCTGATTGTTATTATTGTTGTTGTTGTTGTCTCGGCGCCAGCGCCTGTTGCTCTCGCCTCGGCGCCAACAGCACCCACGATCGCGAAAGTTCTAGGCCAGATCGCTCATTGGAATCGAATAGGGATGAATGGTGCAGTTGGCACTTTTGCATTGCATGTTGCTGTGCTGCCGCATGCTGGTGCATCATCTGCTACAGCGCGTGTGAGACACTGGTGTCGCCGAGCCGTCGGTCACAGTAGCTTTAATGGTTCAGGTTCATTAGCGCAGTGTCGACAGGGCCTGGGCCTGGCTAGCCATTTGCCGCGTTAGGGGGGGCATAGAGCTAGAAAGACAGAGAGAGAGAGAGAGAGAGAAAATAAATAACGAGAGAGAGAGAGAGAGGGAGAGGCGGACACGAGAAGGGTAAAGGACGGAGAGTGATGGAGGACTGATGAGGGTAGTGGTGGTGAGTTGGAGGAGGAGGAGGAGGAGGAGGAGGGCGAGGAAGGGACGGACGGGACCCGTGGCCTGCCAATTACTTGGGGAAGGCATGAAGTTTGACTTCTTCCTCCGCTCTCTTCGTTCTTCCTCCGCCTTCTTCCGCCCTCCTCCATCGCCCAAGCTCCTCTCCCTCCTCCTCCACCTCTTCCTCCTCATCAATACTCCTTGCTCCTCACTCCTACCTCCTCGTTCTCTCTCCTCACATTTCTGCCTGTCCCTCTGCATTTCTCCTCATCGCCCTCCGTCCTCATCTCCCGCCCTCCTCGTGAGCATCCTGTTGCCCCTCCTCCCTCCTCCCTTCCTCCATTTTCCAACAGTTCTTTTCACTCACTTCTCCCTGATCCATCATTCCGCTCCTGCTTTCTCTTCCCTCCCTGGCTTCCGGCGTTCCTCCCTCCTCTCCTCCCCTCTTCCGCCCCCTCTTTCAACATCCCTCCTCACTCTTCCCTGCTCTCTTCCTCACCTCCCTCCCCCCCACTTTCCCATTCCCTCTACTTCTGCGGTACCGCACCAGTCCTTACCTGGACCCGTGTTTTCGCCTGCTGGCGAGGTCAGCAGGGCACCCTCGGGTAACAGTCCCAGGATCGACCTCGCCAGTTGGCGTCGTCCTTGGAGGAGGAGGCAGCGAGGAGGAGACGAGGAGGAGACGAGGCGGATCAGGAGCGCCTGCGAGGGTGGAAGCTTGGAGTGCTGTGCGTGATGAGGGGCCCGTTCCCAACGAGATCTGTGACCCCCCCCCAGCCGCGCTCGGACTCCGAGCTCCCGCGGCCCTCGGCGTCCCTCTCTTGTCCGCCTGCTCCTCCACCGCCGTGTTGGCTCGGGGCTGTGCAGCGCCCGGAGCACCTGCGCCCTCGGGGCCCGCAGGCCCTGGACCTCGGGACCTCGATTCCCAGACCTCCGGGGGCGCCGTGGAAGAGAACAGTGCACCGTCGAGACGCTGAGGCAGGGACCACGTTGGGGAGTCGGGAAGGGGCTCTCTGTTACCGGCGCGTGCCTCAGACCTGCGCGGTGGACCCACGCCAAGAAGCACCCTGCTTGCCTCCAGCGCGCCCTGGGCTTCGCGGGCTTCGATGGTTCTGCCGTGGAGAGCGTGGCGTTGCCACACCACAAATCGATGGACGTCCTGGGGTCTCAGGGTTGGGTTTCTCGTGGAAGGTTTCTTGTGGTCGGGCCCCTACTGTATTCAAGACCGAGGCTCGCCGTGGCCAGAAAAGCCCCCTCGTTTCTTGTTATTGTGTAGGCCTTACGGCAGGTGCCGCCGACCCTGAAGGACGCCGACGACGACGGCGACGGCGATGGCGACGGCGACGGCGACGGCGACGGCGACGGCGCGCGACGGCGACGGCGATGACGACGACGACGACGGCGGCCGTTCTTTCTGGTAACACCATGACTGTAGCCACATTGTGTTAGGGGCGGTGCAGCGCCCAGAGCAGCTGCGCCTTCTAGGCCCGCAGTGCCCGGCGCCCTGGAAGAGATGCACGGACGCTCGTGTTCCCACCCCCCAGCTTCGGCGTCTCGGGGGGAACCGTGGGGCCTCTCTCTCGTGGCCATCGGAGCAGGAAACGGTTCCCATACCGTTGCCTCCCCCCGTCGTCCCTCTTCTGGGCCTCCCGGGAGGCCCTCGCGGGCTTCGCTCTGAGATTCCGAGCGCGCCCCAGGAGAGGTCCGGGGAGCAGCGGCATCGGTACCTCTTGGCCCCATTCGGGAGCCTTGTGGTAAGTCGGGCGTGTCCCTCTACAGGAGGAATATTCAAAAATAGTCAAACATAGTTTGAGGACCATGTTTGGACTATGTTGGATTATTGCTGATTGTGTTTTTGGAGAAAGACCTTTTGCACTCTTCTCCCAAAGTCCTCCACCTGTAGGGGGACATGCCCGACCTAAGCCTCGCGACGGGGGTCAATTCCGCGGCGAGCGAGGGTGGGAGGTGAGAAGGAGCCTTCCTCAGAGGGCGGCGGGGGGTTCTCGGAAGGCCTCCAGGGCAGATGTTCCTGCGTCCTTGGAGAGGGCTTGGGGAACCTCTCAGAAGGCCGGCGGGCTCCCCGAGCGAGGCTTCTGAGGAGGCCCATCCCTTCGCACTCTCCCCTTGGCTCGCCGCCGATCATTGCAAACGGGTGTCAGCCAGGGCGCTGGACCTTGCGGCAACCTGCCGAGCCAGGGCTACAGTCGGGGCCCTGAAGAAGGAACCCTTCTCGCTGGGGAGGGGCTCGGTGTTCCTTGGTTGTTTCAAAGTTTGCCTCGGGTTGTCCTGGGGTTTTCTATCGGAAATCGAGGTTGAACTTATAGGAAAAAAGGGGCCTCGTTCCTTATTTAGGGTTCCTGAGGTCAACGCCTCGACTGTATATTGACCCGAGCTAGCGCGCAGGATCCTGCAGAAGATTGCAGGAGTCTGCAAAAGCCTGGCTGACCTGGGTTTGCATCGACCAGGGTCAGGAGATCCCCGACCACTGCGACCCCCCCACTGGGGGAACGGGCTCGAGAGGTCCAGGGCCCAGCGTCGTGAACAAGCTTGTGCCACGACGTCGGGATCCTGGGCAAGTCCCCAGCCTTTTTCCCTTCATGGAGGGCATGGTGATGGCTGGCGGCGTGCAGAAGTTCAAGTGGAGCGACACGCCATCCGACTCTGGCTCTGAGCACCCACTGTCTGCTGGCCTGACCGCCGCCGACGTACACCACAGCGCGTTGACTACCCTGGACCAGGCCGCCGCAGCTTCCTCCGCGGCCGAGAAGGGGCCCTTGGGGCGGACTGCTGGCAATCAGGAGGGGAAAAACACAGGCAGCATTTATCGTGGATCTCCAGGGAAATATAGGAAAATATGGGAAGCGGGGGGGAAGACGAACACCTAGAACCTAGGGGACATAATGGGGAATCCTGGGATTTGTGTGTATTTATTTGTGTGCCCTATTTGTCTTGGGCCCCTTCAGGCAAGCGCGGCGCCGTCGTGGGCCGCATCGGCAGCTTGTTGCTCTTCGTCGAGGCAGAAGCCAAGAGCGTCTACGAGCCCGTCAGGGTGTGGGTCGTCGAGGCTTCTGCGAAGGTTCGCGACGCCATCGAAGCGCGTGCCGGGCCCGTGGTGCACAAGCTGCAGGCATTGGGAGGCCCCAAACCAGGTGGTGAGATATCAGGTGGTGACTTGATATCCCAACAAAGTCACCGCCTGGTTCTGGAACACGGGGGCACCGCCGGGTTTTGTGACTCCTGGACCCACCAGCGTTCGGGACATCCTCGAAAAACCACGCGAGTCCCCAAACGGGGTGGTGACGTCAAACCGCCTGAGGTTCACCGCCAGGTGTTGCCGCCACCACGTTTTGATGACTGCCAAAGGCAGCGGGCCAGCCCGTGGTGGTGTACATGACGCCCGTCTGCGCGAGCGTCTCCGAAGGCGTCCTCAGCGTCCGCACCGCGGTGGGGACGAGGGCGGTTGCCGTGAAGTCCCGGGCCCTGCAGCTGAAGGGCGACTGCGCCGCACGGGCCCTCGCCGTCTACGGTGCGGCCTGCGAGTTCGCCAGCGTCAGGCACAGAGCGGCGTGTGGGCTCGTGGAGGCCGTGGTGGCGCCCGTGAGGTCCAGGGGCCTGGAGCTCTACAGGGCGGGCGCGGCGAGGGCAATGCCTTACTGCGTCAAAGCGAGGGACGCTACGCTCTTGCTTGCCCAGAAGACTAGGGACGGGGCCCACTACGCGGAGACCAGGGTCGGCGATATCGTCCTCAGGATAAGGGTGGGCGCAGGGGACACGGCCGCGCTGGGGAAGAGGGTGGTGCTGACCAGGTGCGCGGCTGTCTCGGACTTGGTCCGCGGTTACACTGGGCCTTTGGCAGCCAGGCTGTCGACTATGCACGAGGCTGTCATGACCCACGTCTCCAGCCACCTGTCGCCAATCGTCGCCAAGGCCCTGGAGCAAAAGACCCTCCTCTACACCAAGGCTTGCGACATCGCCGTGGTGGTGAAGGTAAAATCGTTCGCCGTCAAGGACATCGCCATGCAGTGCAAGGATAAAGCCATGCAGCGTCCGCGCGCTATCCTCGTGCAGATCAAGGGAGGTTATGTCTACATGAAGACCGTATCCAGTCGCTTCGCTCATTCCGCTGGCCTGTAGATATCATCGCTAGCACTCGCCTGCGTGCTCGCTCGGGCTGCGGCCATCCAGGGCCCCTTGGCAGGACTGAGAGCGGTATCAGGTAATGATGTTTTTTTTTCTGGTGGATGTCGATTCTTACACATGCGCTCGCGTGCAGCCTCGGGGCCATCTGAACTTCAAGTGAAGCCATGTCGAGCCGGGAGACGGTGCGGGTGAGACACGATTTGACATATCCTAGGGCTGTGATGGCGCCCTCGTGGGTGGAATCTATGGAGCCAGGAGTGTGGATGGTGACTAGAAGATGCAATGGGGTGAGGGAGGTCGACGGTGGTGGAGGCAGCATGCGAAGCACGGCGGAGGTTGGAGGAAGGGGGATGGAGGGAGGTGGACTGGGAGCTGGAAGGTGCAGTGCAGGAGAGTTAACCACCTTGGGGTCACACTGTGGCTAGCTGGGGCTGATCTTCGAGGCGCCGTTGGTCTGTGTTGGGGCCTCTTTGGGATGCCTCGGGGGCGCGCGGGCCTATGAGACCCATGGACTTGCTGTATGGCGCGCTGCTGGGGCCATGTGTAGGCCCGCGAATCTGCCTCCCGGGGAATGGTAGCGCCGCCGCGCTTCGCGCGCTTTTCCGCCCTTACGGGCCTCCTCTGGGGCCCCGAGGTGGTCTATTTCGGCTATTGCAAGCCAGTCTGCCTTATCTTGTCTCGCATCGCTCGCACGTGTGCATATTCCCTTCGGCGAGGACCATCGAGGAGCATCCTTGATCATTTGGCGAAAAAGCCACGCACGAATCCGAACAGAACACAAGGAATGGACGTCCGAGCGATGGCAGGGGTGGTCTACTTTGGCTATAGCAAGCCAGTCTGCCTTATCTTGTCTCGAGCCTGCCAATCTTCTTTACGTTGCCGGCTTCTGCGAAGCCCAGCACGACCTAATGCCCGCAGGGGGCCCGCCGTGTCATGTGTTGCTGAGCTCCTTCGTACGCTGCCGGGGAGTGTTTGGGGTCGTTCGAGAGTCTCTGAGAGGGGCGCTGCGGTCTTCCCCAGCGCCCCTCGGAGGGTTCCTGTAGCCTCTTGGGGGGGCTGTCCTGGAGCAGCTTGGGCCACCGCAGAGCTGTGTTGGGGCCTCTTGGGGTTGTCGGAGCCCCCCTCCCCCTGAGGAGGAGGTGGAGGAGGAGGAGGAGGAGGAGGAGGAGGAGGAGGAGGAGAAGGGGGAGGAGGAGGAGGAGGAGGAAGAGGAGGAGAAGGAAGGAGGAGGGGAGGAGGAGGGAGGAGGAGGAAGAGCCTGTCTGCATCGTGTGTGGACTCCACTTGGTGCCGTTTCTGGCGATGTGGGGGCCATCTTGAAGGTTCGGGAAGCCAATGGAAGCGAAAGGGCGAGACCGCAAGCATGATTGAACCACTGTGCGATGGTGCCTGTTTCTGTTTGCAGGCATTTTGAGAACTATCTTGGGACCTCTTGGGGCTGTTTCGGGGCCCTTTTTGTTATTCTTTTCTGGCCCCTCCTCCTCCTCCCCCTTCGCCTTCTCCTCCTCCATCTCCTCCGATTACGACGACGACGACGACGACGACGACGGCGGCGGCGGCGGCGGCGGCGGCGGCGGCGGCGGCGGCGGCGACGGCGCGACGACTGCGGCGGCGGCTGCGGTGGCGACGACGACGACGACGACGACGACCACGCCCTTGTGCCACTCTTGTACCCTGTTGGCGGCCACCGGGGGCGCTATTCGGGATCTTCGGAGCCCTCAAAGAGCCCTCCGCAACTCACCTCCGAGCTGGAGTGTTTCTCCGAAGGGCTTAGGCGACCCGTTCTCCTCCTCCTTCCTTTCCCTCCTCCTCCTCCTCCTCCTCGTGTCGCCTACGGTCCCGGGGGAAACCGTGCAGTCTGAGCCATCTTGTACGCATCCAAGCCACCGAGGCTCAAGCCACCGAGGCTCCAACTTAAAGGTTGCCAGCAACACGTCTATCGCGCAGTCTCAGTTTGAGAGCTCTTTGATTCATTGGAGCCATCTTGTATCAATTATGCTGGGCCGCCTCGGGGCTGTGTTGGTACCTCTTGGAGTCTCCTGCGCACCGGCCTCCGCTCGTGGGCCCTCTTGGGGCTCTCTTGAGGTCCTCTCGGGCCGCTCCTGGGAACTCCTGGGAGTCTGCGGATCCTTCTTGGAGCTACTCTTGGGCTCCACTCGGAGAAACGACAAGGCGAGCAAGCCACCATCGTTCAACCCTTTTCGGCATTGGGAAGATTCCACCCTTGGCGGCAAAGCACATTGGTTTTCATCGCTGCGTATGGCGCTATAGTAGTGCAGAGTGAAGCGTATGATAGAGACACGTGTTGTACAGCGAGAATAAGTAGTGTAGAGAGAATTCTTCAGTAGTCTGCAGCAGTCATTAAGGAGTTCCACAGTGTTGAATTGATTGTGTTATATCGTGCTCTGCAGAGCACTGCCGGGAAGACGCGCGACCTTAAGGGAGGGTTGGCGATACGGGCGGCCACTACGGTTAAATCGGGCGTGTCCCTTTACATGAGGAGTATTCCAAAATAGTCAAGCATGGTCAGGGAACGATTTTTCCCAACCACCCAGTGGTGTTGGGTCCTCGCTTTGAAGACACGGTCCCCGTGTTCCTCCTTCCTTCCTCCTCCTCCCCCTCAAATCCCTTGCCTCTGCCCTCCGCATGTCCACCATTTCGGCACACCTCTCACACGCTTCGTGGCCCCATTGGGAGCTCCACCGAAGCCCCCAGTGGGACCGCCCGCATGCGTCAGCCACCACCCAGCACAGCGTTTCGTGTCCCCATAAGGGGCTCTACCGAAGCCCCCAGTGGGACCGCCCGCATGCGTTAGCCACCACCCAGTACAGCGTTTTGTGGCCCCATAGGGGGCTCCACCGAAGGCCCCAGAGACATCGCTCGCATGCGTCAGCCACCACCCAGTACACCGTTCCGTGGTCCCATAGAGAGCTCGCTCCACCGGAAGAGCCCCAGTGGAACCGCCCGCATGCGTCAGCCACCACCCAGCACAGCGTTTCGTATCCCCACAGGCAGCTCCACCGAAAGAGCCCCAGTGGCCCCGCCCGCATGCGTCAGCCACCACCCAGGACAGCGTGGCGTGGCCCCATCGGGAGCTATAGGGGGCTCCACCGAAGGCCCCAGTGACATCGCTCGCATGCGTCAGCCACCACCCAGTACAGTGTTTTGTGGTCCCATAGAGAGCTCGCTCCACCGAAAGAGCCCCAGTGGAACCGCCTGCATGCGTCAGCCACCACCCAGCACAGCGTTTCGTAGCCCCACAGGCAGCTCCACCGACGGCCCCAGGGGCACCGCCCGCATGCGTCAGCCACCACCCAGTACAGTGTTTCGTGGTCCCAGTGGGACCGCCCGCATGCGTCAACCATTACCGAGTATAGCGTTCCGTGGCCCCATAGGGAGTTCCACCGAAGGACCCGGTGGCACCGCCCGCATGCGTCAGCCACCACCCAGTACAGCGTTCCGTGGGCCCATAGAGAGTTCCACCGAAAACCCCAGTGGCACCGCCCGCATGCGTCAGCCACACCCAGCACAGCGCTTCGTGGCCCCATAGGGGGCTCCACCGAATGCCCCAGTGGTACCGCCCGCATGCGTCAGCCACCACCCAGCGCAGCGTTCCGTGGTCCCATAGAGAGCTTCACCGAAAGAGCCCCAGTGGCACCGCCCGCATGCGTCATCCACCACCCAGCACTGCATTTCGCGGCCTCACTGATTGTTAGCTCCACCAAGCCGCAGTGGCACCGCTCGCATGCGTCCCCCCCACCTGGTACAGCGTTTCGTGGCCCCGAAGGGCTCCAGTGGATCGCCCGCATGCGTCCCCCCTCCCAGTACATCGCTTCGTGGCCCCACGGGGAGCTCTTCGAAGCCCACTGGCACCACCCGCGTGCGTGAGCCACCACCCAGTACACCGTTTCGTGGCCCTGTAGGGAGTTCCACATAAAGATCCCAGTGGCACCGCCCGCATGCGTCCGCCACACCCAATACAGCGTTTCGTGGCCCATAGGGAGCCCTACCGAAGGACCCAGTGGCACCGCCCGCATGCGTCTCCCCCATCCGTTAGGGCACGTTCCTCACGCGTTTCGTGGTCCCATAGGGAGCTCCACCGAACGCGGTCCCCACAACGCGTTATTCACAACTGCATATGGCCGGGCTCTTCGCTAGGATTATTGATTAATTTACCGCTTCGCTCATTCCGCCGGGCCATCTTCGCGCACCGGGAGGCAGTGCACAGGAAGCTCTTGGGAGTTCTCCAAGGCTTTCGGGGACGTCTCAACCTGGAGCCTTTTTCGGGCTCTTGGGGGCCTCTTGGCGGCCTCCTGACCACCTGTAGGGGGCCTCTTGGGGCCTCTCAGGGACCTCTGGGGACCTCTGGGGACCTCCTGGGGGCTGCTTATGGCCGAGAGCTCGAAATGTTGTTTCGTGTTCCCCCTCTGGGGCATCTCTTGGGGCGTTCTTGGGGCCTTATTGGGCTGTCTTGGAGTCATCTTTGGCGGTCCTGGAGCCCCCTTAGGCCGTCTTTGGGTTCTCTCGGAGCCCTCTTGGACCCTCTTGGGGCGATCTTGGGGACCTCTTGGGCCGTCTTGAGGCGTCGGGAAGCCCAAAAGGGTGAAACGCCCAAATCTGTCCCAAACTTCAGGGAAATCTACCTCTTGGGACCCTCTTGGGAGGCAATCTTGGGCATCTTGGAGCGATCTTGTGGCATCTCGGAGACCTCTTGTTCTATCTTGGGGGCCTCTTGGGGACTTTCTGGAGGGCCTCGAGGGCGGCTTCCACCCGACCCGACCCTGACCCGAACCGGCCGGGCACCGCCAAGGGTACTTTTCGTCCGGAGACTCCCAGGTGCCGCTCCGCGCTCGCGACGTAGAAATATTGTACGCAGTTACTGGAGATCTTAGCACGCCTCTGGCCCGTTGGGCCGGCGTTTTTTTTGTCCCGGAAAGGGCGCCGGCCCAGGGTTCTCTTTTAGTAGGTTTAGCTATGGTTTTGACGGCTGTCGGGCCGGCGAATTTCTTTTGCGATAAGTAACGAGGTCGCGTAGGACGGGCGAATTAATATTTGAGGATGTCTCGAGCGAAACGCTTGTTTTTCAGAATTTGTTGAGGATGTCGCGAGCGAAACGCTCGTTTTGTGTTAAAGATTGTCCTCTCCTGGGGGCATGAATTCTGAGGATCTCTCAAGTGGATTGCTTGTTTTCACGTGCCCAGGTCTTGACGATGTCTCGAGCGAGACGCTTGGTTTCACGCCTCCAGGTGGCCCAGACAGATGTCTAGCATGAGGATTTGTTGAGAATGTCTCGAACCAGAGGCTTGTTTTCACGTGTCCAGGTCGCCCAGGCGGATGTCTAGCATGAGCATTTGTTGAGGATGTCTCGAGCGAGACGCTTGTTTGCGCGTGTCCAGGTTGCCCAGGCGGGTTTCTAGCATGAGGATGTGTTGACAACGTCTTGAGCGAAACGCGTGTTTTCAGGTGTCCAGGTCCCCCAGGCACAGCACAGCCCTCGGCACGGTACATCAATAACGATACCCTTAGCATTGCAGCCTGGCATGTTGCCTGGCACGTTCCGCGGAGCGTCCCGTGGCAAGTTCCCCTGGCATGTCGCGCGGTGCACGTCCATTGGCACGTTCCGTAGCGCGTCCCCTTGGCACGTCCCGCGGTGCGTGCCCATGGCACGTTCCCTGGCACGTCGCCTGGCGCGTCCCTTGGGACGTTCCGCAGCGCGTCCTCTTGGCATGTTCCCTCTGTCGATTAGTTCTGGGGCAGCTATCATCTGCTCAGGCAGCTCGAGCTTACGATCCAGATCAGTTCGGTGAGGACTCGGATGCCAGGGAGGACTCGATCCACAACGCTATATAGAGCACAATCGCGGCATGGCACATCGCAGCTCAGCACGGCCCAGCGCAGCACAGCCGTCGGCACGGCACATCAAGATCGGTACACTCAACTATGCACCTTGGCACGTTCCTTGGCGCGTTCCGTGGCGAGTCCACCTGGCACGTCGCGCGGCGCGTCCCCTGGCACGTCCCTCGGCACTTCCATTGGCACGTTCCGTAGCGCGTCCCCTTGGCACGTCCCGCGGTGCGTGCCCATGGCACGTTCCCTGGCACGTCGCCTGGCGCGTCCCTTGGGACGTTCCGCAGCGCGTCCTCTTGGCATGTTCCCTCTGTCGATTAGTTCTGGGGCAGCTACCATTTGCTCAGGCAGCTCGAGCTTACGATCCAGATCAGTTCGGTGAGGACTCGGATGCCAGGGAGGACTCGATCCACAACGCTATATAGAGCACAATCGCGGCATGGCACATCGCAGTTTAGCACGGCGTAGCACAGCACAGCCCTCGGCACAGTACACCATCATCGATACATTCAGCATTGCATGTGCCTGTTGCCCAATCAGGTGTCTTTGAACACGTTGCCATGCGTTGCATTTCTATATTCCTTTCCGGGTTCGTGGGTCGATCATGTTTGGGTAGTGGTTGGCTATTTTTCAGGTTTCGCCCGACATCCGCCCGTGGGGGGACTTGCCCGACCCAGCGCTCAGGATACCATCTCGGAGACTGCGTGCAGCGACGTCGGGAGACGGGGCGGGATGGGCATGCGTGGGATTCTCTTACGGGAGGGCCTCTCGGAGACCAGGCGGGGGACCCCCGGGGGCCCCTGCGGGGTGCCACATTGGGAGACGACCGGGGGCACCGTCGGGGAGACCACCACCTCGGGGCAGACCATCGGGGAGACCATAGGCAAGGGCTCCCTCGAGGGCGCGAAGTTATTCGCGCTTCGCGCTTCGCGGTCCTCGTTCCTCCTCCCCCTCCTCCTCGTCCTCCTATTCTCCCTCTGGGGGGGCGGCGCGAGAGCGCGAAGTTATTCGCGCTTCGCGCTTCGCGGAGCGCGAAGCGCGAAGTTGGGAGCCCTAGAGACCACCACCTCGGGGCAGACCGTCGGGGAGACCATAGGTCAAGCTGCGGCGGAGCGTCCTGGCTCGCCTATAGCCCTACGAAGCGATGTTCCGAGAACCGTTTTTGAGGTTTGCACGGCATGTTCTCAGAGCATTTCTGGCGGAGGCTGCCCGGTTTCTAATGCCTCGGGTTGATGTACTCAGAGCATTGTTTTTGTTCTTGGATCACTTCTGGGTTCTGCTCAACGTTCTTGGAACATGTTTGTTGTCAGACTGTTGTTTTTGTTCTTAGACCATGTTTGTTCTTAGAACACTGTTTTTGTTCTTTGAACGTCGGTCGGTCCCTGCTCAACGCATGGGAGACTAGAAGAATGGTGACCGCACGGGTCCCGGGCCACCGTTCTCGGAGGAGCGCGCGCGCGCGCTCGGAGAGGTCGTCGAGTCCCTGGCGGACAGGCCGTGTCTGCGCAGGGACCGCTGGCCTCTCTCGGACGCCTCGTTGGGGCGTCTCGCGGAGGCGTCTTGGTATAGCTAGGAGGGGAAAGAACACACAGACGCAATTCATCGCCGATCCCTAGGAAAATATGGGAACATATGGGAAGTGGGGGGGAAGACGAAAACCTAGAACATATGAGAAAATATGGGGAATCTTTTTATTTGTGTGTGTGCTTATTGGTGTGTCCCAGAGCCCTTTAATGGATCTGGCCAGCTTCGGACTACCTTTGGACCTCTTCGGGCCGTTTCGAAGCCCTGCTTGGGCCTGCCACCCCCGTTGCGGGGCCGCATTCTGGCCCTCTTTTTTAGCTCTCGTGGGGCGATCGGGTCGCCATCTTGGGGGTGCTGGAGAAGGTCATCCTGGGGACTCCCCCCCCAGAGGCCGCCCCGCGCGCGCGAACTAGCAATTATAACTATTATGCAACTCTTGCTGTCGCTTCTGGCACTCCGTTGGCCCCTTGGGCCGGCGAATTTGACGGGAGGGTCCTCGTCATCAAAGCGAAGCTCTGTGACGTCCTGACGAGCTTGAGCTCGACCGTCCTCCAGGTCAAGGAGCATGCCAAGCTCAAGGCGGCAGACGCGTTCGACACAGCCCACGTGAAGTACCTCGCGCTGCGGGCGGGGACCAAGCGCGTCGCCGTCGACCCCAGCACGCGGGTCACCGCCGTGTCCGCCGTGGGTGGCGCCACGGTCATGGGCGCAGGCGGTGGTGCCGCCGGGCTGGTTGCCGGAGGCACGCTCGGAGCCGCCTGCGGCGTGCCGTTCTCGTTGTTCACGTTCGGCCTCAGCATCCCAGTGGGCGCTGCTGTCGGCAGCGCTGCGGGCCTGTGTGCTGGCGCCATTACTGGGGGCACGGCAGGCCTGGTCGGAGGAGGGGCGGCCGGGTACAAGATTCACCAGAAGAAGGACAGCATCGCCGAGGGCTTCAGCGCTGCGGCGGGCACGATCAGCGACGTCAGGGGCATGGCGGCGGAAAAGGCGAGCGTGTACAAGATGAAGGTGGTTGATTCCACTGCGGCGTCTGCGTCTCTCGTCCGGAGCGCGTTCGTTGGCGGCACTGGTGGCGCCGACGAGGGCAAGTGA